GAGGGAAGCCACGCGCTTCAGCAGGCACGAAGGAGCAGTTATTAAGTCTTACATCCAAGGCACTGTGTTAAGCCCTGCAGGGGGTACGGATATAAATAAGATAGATTGGTCTACCACATTTACAGGCGAGTGGTTTTAACAGACACATTTACAAGGAGCTGTAACTCCAGGCCAGGTGAGGCACTGGAGGGGTGAATAGAGCTGAGGCACGTGGAGGAAGAAGCGAGACGCCATCCGTCTTCAAGCCCTGCCAGCTCCAGGCTGACGACCCCATGGGGACAGTCTTCCATCTCAGGAAGCCCTGCCGGCCCCTCGCGCCCTCACTGTCGGGCACGGGGCAGTGCCACTCTCCTGGGGCCAGTGAGGCTTTCACAGGATAGAAGGACAGGAGAAAACTTGAGGCAAAGTGGACGTGAACAGGTACATCACTGTCCAGAGTCCGCGTGAAGGGCAGTGATGCCACAGTGCCCTCTCTGCACCCTCATGCACCACTCCGTGCCACTCACCTCATGGGCAGGATGCCGGAAGCGTGTTTTGTGTCCAGGTTTCCTGAGAAAGTCATGGGAAGAACATACCAAAGTGGCATGATAGGCTGAAGAGGGAGATGAGGATATTTGCAAAGAGGTGTGGGTGTTGTTTGCCGGGAATGGAGAACAACAAGGACACTCTCAGGCAGCACCACCAGCGTTGAACTGAAGGCACCAGTGGGAGGTGAAAAAGATCAGGATTGTCAAGCAAGGCTCCAAATTTGAATCAGTCACACTCACTTCACAATCAAATGGCGGCGACAGATAGGCCTCAACGTCAAGGCCGAAATGGGCAGTGAAATGCAAAGGAAGTCCTTGTGTTGCTCTTCCTCAGACCCATCTGCTCAGCGTTACTCACTCACCAAGCCAAGCTTCGTAACGTGTCTGCTTGGCACCAGGGGCCATGACAGGCACGAGAGAAACTTGGTAGTGTGAGTCACCCACCCACGCACTGAGGCCATTCCCCACTCAACACGAGTCAGACACTCGGCAGCCAACGGCAGTGCCACAGTACACAGTAGCGAGGGCCTGGACAGAGCAACCTTCCCTTGCAGCCTTGACAGATGAGATGTTTCCATTAGACAGCACGGGGTGGGCGCGCGCTGTGAACCCCGGGAAGGTGGTGGGGTGGTGGCAGGAGCAGCAGCAGAGGAGCCGTGAGGACCTGAGGGCCCTTGGGGATCTGTGAGATCTGATTAGAGAATCAAAATGACTGATAGGAAGTTGTCAGTAGGGAAAACTCTTCAATGCCATGTTTGAGGCTGTACCACTTACTCTGTAAATAATGGGGAGTCTCTTACATTTTGAGGAGACAGCAATCAGATAACTCTGATACTGTGAAAAATAGCTGTGACCAGTGGCGTATGGAAGGTGGATCAGAGAGAGACTGAGGTAGGGACACTCGTCATGAGGCCCTTAGCGGTAGACGAGGTGATCGATGCCAGGCCTCTGAGGTGCAAACTGGCAACCAGAGATGTGGGGGAGACATTGTGGAGGTGCTCAGAAGTCCTTGGTCTTGTGCATGTGTGGAAGGTGAGGGTAGAGTGACCAGAACTCATCTTGAATGAAGAGGCACCATGTCTGGCAGAGAGGTCTGGCAGGAGCAAGGCAGTGGGCAGGACAGGTTTGGAGATGTTTTAGTGGGTCACTCCAAGGCATGATGTTAAGGAGCTTAGGTCGTGAGTAGGAGGAATTAAAGTTCTTGATAAATCTTGAGCAGAATTTTGGCCAGGTTTCCACAGTGTAGCTTTTTTGTCACGGGCCAGGAGAAGATGGTGGAGAAAATAAGGCTTTTGTGATCGTCAAGGAGAGAAAGTGTAAAGGGAGAGAAAAACAGCTGCTAAGATCTTTGGCTGTGTAAATGAGATCTTAAAGAGGCTAAGTTTTGAGAAAAGCTTTGACTCCGTCATTTGACAGGCCATGGAAAGTACCCTCGGAGACAGAGGCACCCTGCAGGCAGTTAAAAGGAGCTTAGCCACCTAGCATCTCCACACAAGAGCAGTCTCGTGCTTTCCAGCCACGTGGAGGTGAGCGTGGCGGCCAGGGGATTAGGGAGAGCAAGCTAGGGGAGGAGGAGAAATGGGGCATAAAGCAAACAAGTGACATCACTGAAGGAAGTGGGAGAAAAGGTACCAAGCTGCTGTCAAGAAAAGAGAAAGTCTCAGTAGGGCCAGATGCTGGAGGGAGAACATAAAAAAATTAAAAAGACCAAAAGGAAAAGAGAGCCAGTGAAGAGACTCCTGGTGAGCTTGGACAACGGTCAGGCCAAAGGAACGCGCCGCAGGTGCGATAAACAGAGAAATACAGACAAGTAGTGGCACATTCTCAGGTCGGCACCATGTTGCCCCCTACGGTACGGGGGAAATGCCAGCACTCTGGGTGAGTCGCTATTACCCCTGTGTCCTGAGCCTCGGCAGCTTCGAGTCCAGTGACTGCCCAGGACCACCCTTCATGAGTAACGTGACGTGCCGGCGCCCACACACTGCACTGCCATCTCCTCCTCCCCTTGCCCTGTGTCCACTGCTACTGTCCCCTGCCGATGCCCAGTGGACACGGTCACTGGAGCGAGCTGGAGTGCCTGCTGGAGATTGCGAAGGTCTTTCCAGGATTTCTTGGTTATGGTCGTAAACAAAGGCACGAGCAGAAAGTCAGTGCTGCTCTAACTTACAATGCCTTTCCTCTTCAGACATGAGCTTTGGGCCTTAACCCTGATAGGTGAGATTCTCTCTGCTGACCTGAATTAGTGGGTGAGCAGCCTGACTCAGTAGCTGCCATCACTACACACAGTCAAGGCTGAGTCCCTAGGAGATATTGTGCTTAAACCAAGGCCCTATAGTAATGTCATTGTTGATACTGGATAGGATGTTGAGGTCTTGACATGAGGCACTTTATATATGTTTTTCACTATCTTCTTACCTATACTCTGTCAAAATAACCTGCCAACTAATTGAACTTTGAAAAGATACATAACGGCTCAGCAGCAATTTCTAGGTTTCATCCTTGTGAAATGCTCCTGGGCCTCAAAGATACTGCTGGTTCTGTGCAGGCTACAAGAATCATCATATAAGCTGTTCTTTCATTTAAATAACATTCTTCCCACTGTGGTTAATCTTACCCAATCACACAAGGAAAGCTGGTACCTACTTGAATTAAAAAATTCTGTGAAGTCAAAGATAAGGATAGTTGAGTTTTCTTTTTCTTTTTTAAAGATTTCTTTATGGATGCATGAGCTGGGGTACAGGCCAGAGTTGCAGGGAGAGCGAGGATTCACCAGAGACAGAGTGGGGAGCAGAACAGACAGATCTTTTGAAATACTGCTGAAGGGAGCAGCGGGGAGACAGGAGAGGTCTGCTGCCCCATGTGGGTCAGCTCCCTGGTGGGGGATCAAACTCATGCTGCAGCGGCTGCTGACACTGCAGTGTCAAGACTCAACCCCTAGTACCAGCAGGGAGGCCTGGTAGAGTTTGGCTTAAAAGTCTCCTCGGAATCATGCCTCTCGTGGATGATTCTCACGTCAGAGGGAAGCCAGCCCAACCTGTGCTCTGAGTTCTTTACTGAAGCTTAAAAAAGAAGAAGGGTTGCAGTTTCTTCTCAGACTTTGTAGTGAGGCATCCTCAAATATCAGGCCTGGCAGAGTGGTCAGTCTTGAATAGGAGAGGGCATCGTCCAGGAGGCAGTTGGGGTCTCCTTCCAGGGAGGAGTGAACACAAAGGTTCCCCACTGTTCTTCTGTTTGTTGAATTCATCAGACTTGAAACTGAGATAAAGATTTCACTTCCTTCTTCAATGACACCCCAAGTGAAATGACTAGAAGAGTCGTGCTACCAGTGATACACAGGACCTGCTCACGAGGACTGGAGAGACGGTCCTAGGCGTCCAGAGTCCGCACTGGCCTAGGGAGGAACACCCCACCTGAGCCGCGTCTTGCCTTCAGTGCCCCCCTCTCTTCTGAAGAATGTTGTTGACTTTGAGCATGTGTATCTGTGATACACTATGGAGAATATGCTGATAAATAACTCAGACTTTTGCCATACATGTACATAGAAATGCAGCGCTTTGCATACGCAGGCCTTATGCTCACACACACTTGCACATGTACATTCACTTGGAAGGGAGCATGTCGTTAACGTGCTTCGAGCCTGAAGAAGAGAAAACCCCAACACACATGGACCAAACACAACCCAAAGAAATGCACTGCTTTGTGTGGCAAGAAGCCCAGCCTGAGGGCAGAGTAGGGCTCAGGCTGCTTTTCCTCTGCTCTCACGGCCCTCCCTGGGCTGTCTTTGTGAGGCCTCACACGCCTGCTGAAGCAGCGCATGTAGGGCGCCGATCGAGGCAGGAGAAGAGGGGAGCATTCCCGGGGCTGTTACCAGGCATGCCTTTGGCGTGCGGGAGGGCAGCGTGCCCGGGATGGTGGACGCTGCCTGAGACCAGGTGCGGCCTGTCTCCTCAGTGTGTGGTGGGAGCCGGTGGGGCCTGGGGGCTCATCATCCCTGAAGGCTTGTTCAGGGACCAGGCACTTAATCCCTGGGGTTACTGAGGGGCATCCCAGAGGAGGAATGTGGCCTGTGAGGTGAGAAGGCCTGAGGCTGGAGGACTGGGGTGGCAGAGAGGGCCACGGGGACGGCTGTCTGGGGAAAGCAAACTAGGCCCCAGCAGCTCCTGAGGAGCACTGCCGCCTCGGACAGGCGAGGAGCCGACGGGCAGAAATTGAAGCCCAGGAGCCTGGCGCGCTCTGTGTGGGGCTGGGTGCGGGCCAGGGGCAATGACATTGTGCGAGTTCACACCTGCAGTCTGAGTAAAGGGCTGAAAGAGCTAGGAGCCTCCCGTGCTCCCCACTCACCCGTCGCCAGGAGCATCCCAGGGTCTGCTGACAAGGGGTGCCCTTGGCGCAGTGGAGGGGCAGACCAGTGGGGGAGGGCTCCCCGTGCGGCTGGGGCTGGCCCGGGGCTAACGCACTGCTTTTTCTCTGCAGGAGCGGTCACACGTTACTTGCCTTCTGGTTTTCCCGCCAAGAGGGGAAACTAAACCGACAGCAGACCATCGAGCTGGGACACCACATACTCAAAGCACATATTTTTAAGGTAATTGGAGGGGGGGGGGATTTTGTCCTTCACCTCCTTCACCTCCAGCAGACCTTTCTCACCGCTGGGGATACCAAGCCCCGACTCAGGGTGGGCCCTGCTTCCTGAAATGATTTCATCACAGAGTTGGCCCACCTCCTAGAATCCTTGGCCTGCCCCCCCCCAGCCCCCTGGGCCTCTGGACAGAAAACCACAGTTGTCTCTTCCCAGTTTAACAGATCGCTAGACGTCCCGCGAAATGTACACATAAAATCATGTAGGAAAGAAATGCACCTGTGTGTCCTTCATGGGTGACATGTCACCATGCAGTGGCCACCTGCTGGACAGCTAGCTGCAGGTCTGCACAAAGCTAAAAAAAATCATGAGGGCAGTAACCCTTCATTTCCTGATAATCATTTTGGTGGTGATGTTAACGTTTCTGGTGCTGTGGTTTTCAAGCTGTTTATCTGAAAGCCGATTACAACCTTTCTGTGAGGTACTTCTCCCATCCTCTCTTCAAATGGTAGCCCCAGCTTTCCCCCAGTCATTGTAAAACTCTGAGGACCTCTGCAGCATCAGCTCCCCACCCACCCTTAGCGTTCACAAAGCCGGGTTCAGCCACAGGGGAGCACACAACTCATCTGTTTGTGCGTGTGATTCATCTGTGTGCTCAACACTTCCTGAGGCCATCTGCGCTAGGCACCAGGGGCACAAAAACAAAAAGATACAGTCCCTAACCTCAGGGACCTTGCAGTCCTGATGATAGTTGGGGGGTAGCGCACAGAAGTCAGGAAAGATATTTGTTCCTCTGGTTTCCTGGACCACGGTTTTCTATTGTGCCTGCTGGCTCCAACCCCTTCAGTCTCTTCGAGTGCTTTTCTTGCCTCGGGATTGAGAATCACAAGTACCTTCAATAGTTCTCCAGGTCGACTCCCCCCAAAGATACCTTTAAAGATAAAACAGCTCTCTTCAGAGAGAAAGATGGCGCCGAGGGCAGCTCTGAGAACCTCGCCAACCCTCCAGTGCATAAGCACACAGCCGGGAGGCTTGTCATCAGATGCGCCGCAGTGACGGCCTTTGTTTGAATCATAAGTGTCTCGTCTGGCAAATCACTGCACCAGAGATGACCTTACCAGTAGCAGCAGAGTGAGACTGAAATCACAGGCAGGTTGTCTCATTCCCATCTCAAGTGGACTAAAGAGTGCCTGCTCTTCCTACAGGCTCCGAGCCCATTTTCCTGCAGGGGACAGGGAAGCGCCTTAAGTATAAAGCGTCACCACTTTAAACACGTAAGGTTCTGACATCACTGCATCCTAGAATCAAATGCAAAGGAGTCCTTGCCTCTGAGTATAAAATGCACAACACGCTAGCAGCTAAGTGCCACGACGTTTCATTTAACCCAGTGTGACTTTGTCCAACACATGGAACAGTATGAGCCCTGCAGTCCCGTCGCTGGCACTCGCCCGCAGTTGCCAAGACTGCAAGGCTGCCTGAGGAGAGGGCGGCCCACGTGCGACCCGGCTGGTGCACATCTGTGGCCATGACGTGCCCACCAGCTGGAGGCGTAGGCTGGCCTGGCCCCTGGTTTTCCTGACGCTGCGCTTTTCAGGGTCCTTGAAGTGCAGACAGAGCCCCCTGGCAGACATTGGCTCCTTCCAGACCTGCTGAAACCCTCAGTCTGCACCCACTGGGGCCAGGGAGGGCACAGACAGGCTGCTGTGCCCTTCCCAGCGGCAGTGCCGTCCACTCCAGTTTGTGTTTCTGTCCAGGGAATTTTAAATGCCCTTGATTTAATTTTTGTTCGTGAAACATTGCATATGATGTCATTAATCACTTTAAAATTTTGAGAATGTTGTGGGTTTGTAATTTTGGATATTTGGCAATCGATGGAGCCCTTTTTTAAAGAAACAGCTTTATTGAGGAATAACTTAGGTCATAAAATTCACCCATTTTAAGCATACAAGTCAGTGGCTTGGAGTGTATTTCCAGAGCTGGGTAAGTACTAGTACTTCCCCATCACCTTCAAAATAAGCCTTGTGCCCACTTGAAACTGCTCCCTGGGACCCCCGCCCCCACTCTGTCTCTCAGACTTGACCTTGCCGGCATTTCATGCGTGGCGTGTGGCTCCTTTCACATGTTCTTGGGGTCACGCGTGTCATCAGGTGTCAGTCCTCGGTTCCTTTTACTGCCTAGGAAGTATTCACCACATGGCAGTGGGCCACACTGTGTGTGCAGTTGGATGTCAGGGTGGTTTGTACTTTGTGGCCATCATGTATGACACCAGTCTGAGGCCTGGGCACAGATTTGTCTGTCTGTGGGATTTTTTGAACTGATACCAGCCATTTCAAAGTGGCGTGTAGTAGGGTCCCAGGCTAGTGGCTGGTTTCTGTGTGGAAATGACTCCCGATGGGTTAGGCAGACACCTAGAGGGAGAGATGGAAGGGTCACCTGGCAGCTCTAACGTTTTGAGGAGCCGCCCACCTGCTTGTCAGTCTCACCAGCAATATGCAAGCGTTCCAGTATTTTCAAACCCTGGCCAATACTTGTTAGACATTGTCCTTATAATCACTGTAGAGGATGGAACTGGTATTTCTGTGGCTTCCATTTGTATTTCCCTAGTGATCAGCAATATTGAGCACTTTTAATTCTTTTATAATCCTCTAATTGCCATTTAGATTTTTTCTAATCTCTAAAAAGAAAGTACAATGTTGGTGAATTGTGGCCAGAGCGATTTGAGTCTTGTTTGTAGTGTAGGCCATTTGCGGCGTCTAGGTAGCCCCTGGAAGGGGCCCTTGAGGTCAGTTCCCTCAGCGCCACCCTCTGAAGTTGCTCCTTTGATTCCTTGATTGGGGACTCCGGTAATGTTTATACAATACAGAGCTGCGCGCCAGGGAGGAAAGTGCTGGAAGCTGGCAGTTAGAGGGCAGGCCTCAGTCAGGAGGCTGCATCCAGGGACAGACTCTGCCACTGAAGCATCTGTTTGCTCATCTGTAAAATGGCGACAGTATATACTGTCAGCATTATAGTGAAGATCCTAGGTACAAGACAAAATGCATCTCTGACAAGTTTTATGACCAAAGTTATTAGCAGTCATCACGTTCCTGATCATAAGACTTAGTCACAAGCGTGAATCCCAGGCAGTACCACCTCCCTCTCTTCAGAGGCTCCGACCTGTGCCCTCCACACAGTAATCAGCAGGTGGGGCCCCAGCTCCCAGTGTCTGTTTGAAACCAGCTACCACTGACACTAAAGCTCAAAGATAGCCCAAGGCGATACAGAAGCGACTGGGTGAGGCTGTGTAAAGCCCACGTCCAAAATCCAGAGGGAGGCTGGGTTTGTCCTCCAGCCACAGTTTGCCGACCACTGCTCCACTGTGAGAGGCGCCTGCGGGCACACTATCACATAGCAGTCAGGTACGAGCAGCAATAATCCCCTGGAGACCGGTGGATCACCTACAGGTCATCACTATGCCTGTAAATAATTTGTTTTAAAGAAACTCGTCGTATGAACCCACAAGGCTGGCTTTGCCATGATCTTAAGATACCCGAGCCTCGCCAAGGTTTTTAAGATGAAGTTGCTCTTGATTCTTCACATTTTCCCTGTTTCTTGAAAGTATCCAGATACATGGAGCACGCTCTCCGCCGCCAGGCAAACTGGACCCAAATGCACATCTGGAAGGGGCTGGATCGCCACTCACCTCAGGGGAGCGGTCCCTTCTTGCCTGAGCAATGATTTTGGATTCTGAAGAGACTTTGCCTACTGTTATCGGAACCTGAAGTTCTCTAAAAATCCATCAGCTCAGAATTTAATTATGGGTTATTTTTGGCTACATCCTGCCTGGTAACAGGGTCCTGCCTGTTACCTGTGACAGGCTGCATTTAGCTAAATGGAAACTCTTCCAGCCCATACCTCATAGGAGCAAAGGGCCAGCCCCAGCAGACAGAAGTCAGTCTGTACGGAGGAAGCTGACTGCAAACCCCAGAGCCAGCGCTGATTTCACGCTCCCGCCTGTGTATTACTCCGCCTGGTTCTGGTGCATTTCCCAAGACCTAGCCTTCACTCCTTTTCCCATTTCTTCTTCCTCTAGTTCTTAACCAAGTCAGTTGTCTCAACAAACAGCCTGACCTGTGAAAAAATAAAGCTCATTGAGTGAGATTAATTTTAACTAGTCTCCTCCTCTCTCTGATGAGTCGGTCGATACCACCTTCCATTCTTAGCTCCTTTCCCCTTCCTTAGTAGGAAAAAATGCTCCTACTTGTTTTTCATAAAATGTTGCAAACATATAAAAGGAGAGCACAGAAAATCGAATAATCAAGCACTATCTACCAGATCTAACAAATATTAAGATTTTTCTGTTTGCTTCAAATCCTTTTCTTTATTTTCATGAACAAAATGTAACACATACATTTGAAGCTCTGTCCACCTCTGAGCCCACTCCTCTCTCTCCCTTCTCAGCAATAATTTCTATCTTGAAATTACATGTGTTCTTCTCATCCATATTTTGTCCTACATACATGTCATACACAGGTGTATGTTCTCCTGAACCAGAGTAAGTCAAGCATGAATCCACCTGTAATGTTTTGTTTAAAAGTTAATAGAATATTATCAAGTTGTTCCTTTACATTTGTGGGGTTTTTTTAGATTTATTTATTTATGCATACAGAGCTGGGGTACAGGCCAAAGGTGCAGGG